GAAAATTTTTTTCAAAATCGGTCGCGGAATTTTAGTAGAATTTTAAAAGTGAGGTTTACTTTTTTTTTGCTCGAGCAAAAAGCTTATGGTCGGTCTGGCTCTTCTTTTAAAATTTCGATTACGGACAAATAGGAGATAGAGGTTTGAGCGACTGGAGTCTTATCAGGGTCTGCTTTTTCCAGACACAGACTAGGGTTCCAGACGCCCAGCTGAGAGGGCATGCGTTCGCTATCGCGGGGCGCTGGGTCGTTGGCACAGCTCGAGGCGCCGTTCACACTGCCATTTTTCATTTTAAAAATATTTGGCGGTGAATGGCATTCAAGTTCTTGAGAAAGATGGTTGCTAATGGTCAGAGATTGACTAGGAATACTAATGGTGCACACGCATTCCATTTCTTTTAAATTTTTGGTTTATTGTCGGGGAATTGAAATTCTCTTGAAAATAATTTGAGTTCTTTCCATCGAGTGCAGCAACTTAAAATTTGATTTGTATTCCTTTACAGTATATTTATAGAGTTATGGTTTTTGTGACTGAGCGCGCTGGATGAACCCTGTGTCATTGATACAATATCAGAAGATCTTTCTATTTTATTTTATTATTTTCTTTCAACCGTCGAATGGGATCAAACAGAAAAATCGACAGCTTTCACGCAACTCGAGTATTATTAAATGTATCTTTAGATTCTTTACTCAAAATTGAATGTTCGAAAACTTTGAATATTTTCGTCATCACAGCGAAGAGGTTTCCGGGGATAATAAGTCTTGTTATTCCGATTTTTTTGGAATCTCTTCGGCGAATTTAAAAAAAAACCCCGCATCTTAATTAGAGGTAGGGTGAATTGCTTGTTTTTCTATCGTTATTATTGCTCTAGCTGGACGAGGAACACCTTTTCTAGTTTCCATGTTTCTATCATACCGCTAAAGTTAAGAATTAGAAGCCCAGTACTTTGTATACTTCTAAAAAAATATGATGGCCCCGAGTAATATACTTGCACAAAAGCAATAACCGATCTTACGTACACATGTAAGAAAAGACACTCCCTTAATGAAATCAAAAGTAAAAGAAATATGCTTTATGTTCCTTGGAGAACTGCATAGCAGTACTTAACACGTTTAATTTTAGACAGCTCAGTAAGAATGACAGGTGGATTAGCACACTTTCCTCTTAGGCGAAACCCAAGAAAAAAACCTCTCGCGAAACTATTTAAATGAGTTTTAAAAGGCTAGCGGTCGCGAGCATCTTGTGACAACGACAAGGGTTCACAGAGTTCAGTAGTTTACGATTTTAAAATAATAATAAATAAATAAAAATGCTTGGTCAGATGCAGATTGAACAATAATGCTGGTTCCACTGGGGTTGAGAATCAAACGCACCAGTGTGAACGTCTGTAGTGGGGTGCCACGAGTTGAACCCAGGATCACCTTCGTGCGCCAGCCTGGCGAAGGGAGAGTTGCGTTTCTCACGTGATGCCGACGATGAGGTGAAGTAAGGTGAGGTCACGGATCCCAGAAAAAAAAAAAAAAGAACAGGGAGCTGCTCACAGACGAAGGCCCCCTTGACACAGCAGCTCACTCTTTTTCTGCGTGTTTCAAAAATTTTAAACTGTAAGAAAATATTAGAGAAGTCTGACGAGCTGTCTGAAATTGAAATTTACTTTCATGTGGGTCGAATTCATTACAGTAAAGTGCTCGGTCCGAGTGTTTTCCTTGCGTATTCAAGATTTTGCGAATCTCCGTGCAGTGATATCAGTGAAAACGAAAATTGAGTTCTAAGATTTTGTTTACAGTGAAATTCTCCATACAATTGAGTCATTTCTGGTCCCGACGGGCCTTCGATTAATGAACAAACAGCACCTGATTTTTCGCAGCATGCAGAAATATAAAAGTCTCTCTCTTCCACTATTGTTTCGTTGCTGTGTTTGTGTGTGTGAAAATCCTCGAGTATTTTTCGTTCGTTGTGTTTCTGACCTGTTAATTTTAGTTGATTTCCCTTTTGATTATTATATTTTTACACAGATTAATGCGAAGTCTTCCGGTCTTCGGCATGAATCGGTTCTCAATAAATTTTCCGCGCTCAGAACCATTGTCATTGCCGAGAACGAACGCATCAGTATTTTTTGTCTGGTAATCAAAAGCCAAGTTTTTTTTATTGAAAACACACAACACACGAGAATCGCGGTACAGTGTAAGGAATTCTTCCTTATTAGAATCGGATTGTTGAGTGCGAGGCTCTTGGACAAACGACAAGAAGGAACAAGCATAGTGGGGGGAGATTTCGACCACGCAGCTTTTTGACCCATCGATTCCCCAGGAACTGGGGGTAGTATAAAGGAAAAAAAGGAAGACCGCTTTTCTATGTATGCCGCCGCCGCGGGGGATTGACCCAGTTTACACGCTGGGGTATTTCCGGATTTGACGCTGCTGCGACTTGGGACGAAATCTTTTCTGATTGCTCCTAGCGTTTCACTGATAAACTTCCATTTCCGGCGTTATTTGCTGCATTTTGAGAAGGATGCTGACGAGGAAGATGGAAGTGCTGGAGCGGCCATGGCAGGAACGCCGGTTCCGNGTATTCAGTTGATGCTTGGACCTTGTCCCGCCTATGTTGGAAAATGTTTTGCAGTATACTTCAACAGGATTACCTGCATACAGTAAAATCTCATTGCAGCAAATGCTGTTACAACACATTTTTCAGTTTAACAAACTTTTTTCCAAGTCCTGGCCTGAATCCTATAGGTTGCATGTTATAAGAATATTTTTACAACAATCTCGTCAATTCTAGTATAATTAACTTTTTCAAGAAACATTCCATTATGATTTCCTGAAGATAAATTCCCAATGAAGGAACACACAGTCTCACATTTTCCATTCAAAACGTGACAGTGACTGGTTCTTGAGGCATAAGGTGAAATCAAGCAAGAAATCTTCAAAATTCACGGAAACATATTTTTTTAATGCTCCTGAGTTAGGAAAGATGGTGGGGGGGGGGGGTGAAAAAAATGAGCCCTGAAAAACTCATGTTGAAAGGGATTGTTATGCTTGAGAAACCCTATAGGCCTATACTAACTTAAAAATTGTTAGCTTTTTTGGATCATCCACATTTACAAATCTGTGCAGGAATTGCTTAGCAAAACTTAAAGTCCACAAAAATTACCAGTGTTTACCTGTTATTCAGAGTACATGTTTGGTTAGTAACTCTCAAATTCATTTTCAAAGATCACACTGAACAAAAATATCTGAGAAAGCCCAAAAAGGAAGATATTGACTATATGCAGGTCTAATTTGAAGAACATCTTCTCATTAGTCTATAATTGTTTTAATCTTGTTATAACTAATTATTTATTACAACAAACTTTTTCTGAAGTCCCTACAAGTGTATTGTAACAGGATTTTACTGTAATTGGTGCTCTTGTTTTTGAAAAATTAAAAGTCCCCAAAAATAGATTAATAGAGTACATTTTTTTCAACTTCATGATCTAGAAAATATGTATAGGGAAGAAAAACCCACAGAATCTCATTGTTTGACATGAAAAAGGGCCCAAAAAGCAGAGGAAAAACTTTCGATGTCGCATCTTATAGAGCCGCGCGTGAAGTGATTTTTCAAGTATGACTACATTACAAACACCATTGAAATAAAACAACTGGAACACGATTGATGAAATTATACTACCCTTTACCGGCACTACATGTCAAAAATATTGACTCGCGATGGCCGCTGACAGAAGAATAATGCCTATGAACAAAGAATTTTCAAGAGATTACGAGGGCGCAACGAAAGCATGAATGTAACGTTTCATCTTGAAATAATGCCTAGTTGAAAAGCAAAGTAAACCTTATTTTATTGATGGTTGAGAGGAACATCCATTTTATGATGTAAACTGTAAGGATGTGCTTCGTAACAAAAATAGTACTTTAAATTTCAACAAATATGGTATCCTCGAAATTGAAGGAAATGACATTTATACTCTTAATTCCAATTAAATCATGTTTTTAGTGGATGATATGAAGAGCTCCACCAAATTAATTACTCAAACAAAGGCTCATTAACCCAAAAAATCGAAAATTCTTTCTAACAGGTCTACTATGCAATACTCTTTTCAACTTACATTGAAATGTCTTACATTTAATTATATTGAATCGCCTTTAGCTTGAAAGTTGCGAAAGGCATCAGCATTATTATAGGTTCATATATTTCCAGAAGATAATTTTTCTAAGTGCTTCATTCATGCATTCTGCGATAACTAAAAGACAGGAAATATGTACTGTATTTCTTACTCCGTTTTCTTCTCTAGTTTTTGCCCTACCAAATACACAGAGTTTACTTTCCAGGTCCCAAGTTTACGATATAATGGATTAATGGTCTTGGCAGGCTGGCCCGAATTGCAATGCATTTTTCATTGCCGGGTGCGGGTCGGAGGAAATGGGCCAGAATATAATGGCTAGAAACCCGTTGCAAGGGTACTTCTGGCATTGTCAAATCTGATCAAATCTGGAAAATAAACCCTGTTGCGAAAATTCGGATATTTCTGGTCCATGATTATTTTTCTCCATATATTCGTTCTTATGCATCGCGGTCAACCTATTTTATTCCTATGGCTTGTCCTAAAGATCGAGGAAGGGCCAGGCAAAGTTATTCTTTCTGGGGTTGTCCATGCTAATCTAAGGAATGAACCGTTTTTTTCAGACTCACTCGGTTGCAATAAGTTATTCGTGTGAAATCACAATCACGAAAATGTCAGGGAGAGAACAGGAAAAAAAATTGTGCTCAATTGAAGCAGGTCACTCAGAATGAATTATTGATTACGCGATGCTAGTGAAATTTCAAGCATAAATTTCTTTTCGATTTCGCGTAATGTTTCGAAGGCTTCTTTTTAAATGAAATGTTTCGAAGGCACTAACTCATTTTATCGAAATTTTACATAATAACAGGCGGAAAAGACAAGATATGTTATGTGTACTAGCTCCCATTGAAAATTGATTGGTTTTTCATCTTTCGGAAGAGAGAAAACCTGCGAACTCTGGAGCTTCAGCTTTTTTCAGACATCTAAATCAGTCAATGCAAACTTTCGAAATCGTCGCACCTTTTCGTTCTTTTTCTGTCGAAACAATTC